CCGACCAGATTTTTTGCACCGCGGGATTAAATTACCGAATAAAACGCGGTAGCGGTCGGTAACTCTGGTGTAATTTGAACGTGAGCGGGTGGTCTAACAATATCCAGTTCCCGACGTCCATTTAGAACAGCATATCTGCGCTTTATTCTTATTGACCATCGGTACAGCTTGTGCTCAGGACTGTGCTGCATGCATGCTGTAAACGGCACGCGATTTATTTGCGGGGTCTGTGCGCAGCATGTGCATAACGATGCTCAGAGCAGGCTGTACCAGTGGTAAATATACGGCCCTAGAAAATTATTCAAAGCGGACAGCGGGTGAACAAAGAGTGAATATATAGCGGGAGCAGGTGTGTGCGGAATATAACCTTGCGGGACGGGACTTAAAAAAACAGCAGACCTCTATTCTAAGGCTACTATAATGTGAAATAATTAAATCTAAATAATGTCCTTAGAGATCAAACTCTGGGTGAGATCAGGGACTCAGACCACTATGTGATGACTGAATCATCAGATCAGTTCTGCTTCTTGCAACTCCTGCTATAACAAATGTGCCACAGTTACAGCAGCCAGAGAAACATAAAAGTTAAGAAGTCAAGGGTCAGGAACTCAACTAAAGCAAGCGCTTACCTCCATAACGGTGACTTCAAACTTTATTATTATCAATAACAGCGCTAAGGCTTCCTTACAATGATTCGTCTGTTTCGTTCCTCAACCTTTCACGTGTGCGATCAATGTTGTGATCACTTGGTTCGTCCGTGCAGCGTACGATCACACCAGTGTGATTTGAGCATTTAAATCTGCGTTTGCGCTAACATTGACCTAAAGAGAGCAGCTGTCTGTCATGAATGAAACAGCTTCACAATAAAACAACATGCAATTTTGTGCAGAGTCAGACTACACTTTTATTTGTCAGCCTATCTCTCTTTCTTTCAGTAGCGGAAATGTAAATGTGAGATTCTGGAAACGAGATCTAAATTTAGCGGGAACGGTCAGGCCGGGAAGAAAATTATTCAAAGCGGACAGCGGGTGAACAAAGAGTGAATATATAGCGGGAGCAGGTGTGTGCGGAATATAACCTTGCGGGACGGGACTTAAAAAAACAGCAGACCTCTATTCTAAGGCTACTATAATGTGAAATAATTAAATCTAAATAATGTCCTTAGAGATCAAACTCTGGGTGAGATCAGGGACTCAGACCACTATGTGATGACTGAATCATCAGATCAGTTCTGCTTCTTGCAACTCCTGCTATAACAAATGTGCCACAGTTACAGCAGCCAGAGAAACATAAAAGTTAAGAAGTCAAGGGTCAGGAACTCAACTAAAGCAAGCGCTTACCTCCATAACGGTGACTTCAAACTTTATTATTATCAATAACAGCGCTAAGGCTTCCTGGAGGCTAAGTGAGGGCTGCCCGTGCAGGGCCAGTGCTAAGGGGCCAACGTTTTGCCAATGAGCTAATTCTCAGGGGCCCTGCGCTGGCAGCCCGTAAAGGACCAGGCTTGTTTGCAGGGCATGTTTAGGGTTGGGAAAATCGATTCCAATTCCAGAATCGGATACTTAAGGTCAGGAATCGGATACTTGTTGTCAAATTAAAATTTCAATTCCGCCTATCGATTCCTATGCGCTTTTTTTTCCTTTGTCTGTGAGGACCGGACCTAGCGATCTGCCAGGACCTTGCTCGCTAATCTAAGCGCTCCAAAGTTTGGCTACATTTGCGATCAGTAGGGCTGGGTATCGAGTTCGATACTTTTTAGGCACCGACCGAATTGCCTCGATACCATC